TTTGTTGCTAACAATAAAAGTCAGTATGGATCCAAATGGACACATCTTTAGCCATTATGCCACCAGCTCATCCAGTGCCCAGTTTTACCCCATGCCTGCTGACATTATTGGCATGGAAGATACGGTTTTTAATCTGGAATTAATCTTGCATGGGTGCTATCTTTGATCCATTCCTGGGCCCTATGTCTTTCTGTTGAATTAACGATGAAAATAAAAATAACCAGCAAAATGGGCAGCCTTACAATGAGTATGATGTTATTGTACACAACAGAGTTTCCCATATTTATTTTCATCCTATTATAATGCGTATCAGTGCCAAACATCCAACAATTTGTCCATCTGTGAAATAGTAGTGATATTGTAGGGTCCTTGACGCTTTCTAGAGGCTTGGTTGTTTGCTTGCAGACGTTTCACTACCAGACTTGGTAACATCTTCAGTGCTTCATGCAAATGTCTGCAAGCAAACAACTAAACTCAGAGAGCACCAAGGACTCCACAGTTCATCCATGAGCTATGTCTGCTCTCTTCTGTTAGTATAAAATTGTCCAGGGAAATTAAATATCTAGGTTTAGAGAGCAAGAAGCTGGGGGAACGTGGATGAGATAGACAAGAAAACTATCATCTCTAGTGTAAGAATATGATGTCTTGTTTAATGAAGAGAAGGACAAGGGGGGACATGATAGCAGTGTTCCAATATCTCAGGGGCTGCCCCAAAGAAGAGGGAGTCAAGCTATTTTCCAAGGCGCCTGAAGGCAGGACAAGAAGCAACGGGCGGAAACTAAGCAAGGAGAGAATCAATCTAGAACTAAGGAGAAACTTCCTGACAGTGAGAACAATTAACCAGTGGAACAACCTGCCTCCAGAAGCAGTGAATGCTCCAACACTGGAAGTTTTCAAGAAGAGACTGGACAGCCATTTGTCTGAAATGATATAGGGTTTCCTGCCTAAGCAGGGGGTTGGACTAGATGACCTCCAAGGTCCCTTCCAATTTTACTACTACTACTACTACTACTACTACTACTACTACTACTACTACTATTATTATTATTATTATTATTATTATTATTATTATTATTATTATTATTATTATTATTATTATTATTATGTTTCAATCCTACTTTTTTACCAAGTAACGGAAAAAAATATATAATATCCTTTCTGGATTTCTTAATACTACATATCGAAGGATGAAAGAAAGGGCTTGCTTAAGTGATCTAGAGACTCTTCAGATGAACCATATCAAAAGTCCATCTCATGCCAATTTCACATCAATATGATTTTCTTTCCTTTTTTATTTTTTGCTCTTGTATGGACATGTAGCCCTGAAAGGTGGTTGTTAGCACCCATTACACATCAAATTCACTTCACAGTTTCACATATGACCAGTTTGGTTCAATCGTTTTTAATCGTGGAGTTATCAAGTCCTGCTTTCAACTTGGCAGCACAAGAGGGTGGGCATGCTACCGTGTACCCCTCATTCATTTACAAAAGGCAGTGACCAGGAGCAGGCTGTGAGTCCGGAGCAGTCAGAATTAATTTAATGCTTAATAAAACTGCTCACCTGAAGGAGTTTTAATATTAAGTGGCTCCTTGCAGCCACCAGTAAGGCCTCATGGTTCATTCAATTGATGGGTTTCCAGGAATAGAACTCCATGCATTTAGGTGGACCTGGAGATCTAATCCATCAAATAGTAATTAGCTTAGTGTTTAAAAAGTCTCAGTCATGGAACAGAACCATTAGTTATTTACAGTATGTTAGCCTAGAATTGGATGGAGTCTGCCTGATCAGGTGAGTAACACTTGCTGTACATTATGTAAAATGGCCCAGCTAAATGTAGGTGAAGAAAACCGCCTCCTCACTTAATGTGCAAATTGACAGGTGGAATTAATTTTTATCAGAGGGTGAAAAGCCAACCAATCAAAATTATAGCAGCGTTCCAATATCTAAGAGACTGCCACAAAGAAGACAGGGTCAAACTATTCTAAAGCGCCTGAAGGCAGGACAAGAAGCAACGGATGGAAACTAATCAAGGAGAGAAGCAACCTAGAACTAAGGAGAAACTTCCTGACAGTTAGAGCAATTCATCAGTGGAACAACCTGCCTCCAGAAGTTGTGGCTGCTCCAACACTGGTGGTTTTTAAGAAGAGATTGGACAACCATTTGTCTGAAATGGTATAGAGCACGGCTTTTCAACCTTTTCACCCATTGTACCACTTTTAGGATATGGCAACATCCGAGTACCACCAGTCGCCTAGCAAGGTGTCAAAAACTTGATGACCCCCCCAAAAAAGGAAAAAAGTGATAAAGTACAAGTAGTCCTCGACTTACAACAGTTCGCTTAGTGACTGTTCAAAGTTACAATGGCACTGAAAAAAGTGCCCCCCAAGCCACAGCCGAGCAAGACACCTGCCTTCCCGCCCGGCCGCGCTCTTCCTCCTGTCCGAGGTTTTCATTGTTGTGAGCATTTCTGTTGAGGATTGGCAGCAGGGGTGGGGTGGAGGGGTGTTATTCTTCTCCCCCCCCCATCTGCTGGGTGGTTGCAGCAGGTTTTGGTCACTTCACATGACCGTGGGCCACTGTGACCGTCATAAATATGAATCAGTTGCCAAGCATCTGAATGTAAATCACAAGACCCTGGAGATGCTGCAACATTCCAGCTGATCGGCGCTTCTTCTGGGCTCAGCAGAAGTGCCAGGATCAGTGCTGCTTTCCAGCTGATTGGTGCTTCTTCTGGGCTCAGCAGAAGCACCAGGATCAGCGCCAAGGTCACAGAAGCACCAGGATCAGCGCCGAGCTCCAGCTGGAGCCTGACGCTGATCCTGGCGCTTCCACTGAGCCCTGACAGCCCCGAAGAAGCGCCGATCAGCTGGAAAGCGGCACTGATCCTGGCGCTTCCGCTGAGCCCTGACAGCCCTGCAGCTCCAGCCGTCTCTCGCTCAGGCTTGTGCGGTGCTGCCACCGGTTCAGCTCATTCCCCTCCCCCGCTACCACTTTTCTAGGATGGTCGCGTACCACCTGCCAGGTGCCAATGTACCACAGGTGGTACCCGTATCACTGGTTGAAAAGCCCTGGACTAGATGACCTCCAAGGTCCCTTCCAACTCTGTTATTATGTTATGGTAGATGATCCTCATTCTGTTAGCCATCCCATTCGATATGGCTGAAATGATTAGATAGCTTTTTTATGCCTCTTTTTCCTTCTCTATCTTTATTTGAATGATAAGGAACCTATCACAGATGTTTAGCAGTCACCAAGAAAAGCGTCTTTTCTTGTCGTTATTCCTTCCAAGCTGACACACACCAGCCTGGAAAATGATACGACTCCCAGTCTAGTGGATACTTATTTTTCAGGACCGGGAGTGGAGGTGGTGGCTTCTGGGAAGGGGCTTAATCTTATTTACATCTCTCCAGAGTTCCCTTTTTCTTCCGTAAATCTGTAGTGAGCTGCAAGGGCAGTAAATTACCATTCAAAAGCAGGATCTTGTTATCTTTAATCACTGGTGGGCCAGCAAGGATTTGAAGAGCTTTGAAGTCTGTTCATGGACTTACAGATCTAATTCTGAATCTCTGTGTACCAAAGACTAAGACTGGGGGGGGGAGGGAGGGGGGGTCTATCTAGTTTTTAGCTTGCAGCTGTATTCTTTAATGTTCACAAATCATATAGGCATTATTCACTCATCACTTCAATACTAACTAGCTTTCTGAATGCTATTCTTCTTGGCTATTGATGTTCAGACTGATAACACAGAGATAATATTCCCAGCACAGAAGAAAAAAAAAACGATCAATTTGCTTTTACCAAGACAAAGTGCTGTCAAGGTATAATTCCTGAAAACAAAGCCCATGGATACGTGAATGCTAGATATTTCATCTTTTTCTAACAATTAGACTAAACAGCAATGGAACGTCAAGAAAAGCTTCCTAACAGTGTAACAGTGTCAGTTCATCTAATTTGTTACAAACTAGGGACAGTTACCAGTTTTGGGTTTTTTTTATGGTCTTCTGTGAGTTTATTCAATTCACAAACACCAAGTTATAGCATCCATTTCATTTGCTGTAGGGGGGAAACTCTGGAAGGCAATTTGTAAATTTTCCTTCGGTATCAAATAGTTTTTCATAAGCCAGATCATCTGAGAACTGATGAATCTAGCATTTGCCATTTCCATATCAAAACAATTTCCTCTGAAACATCTATTCTACAATGGTTTATGCTTTATTCATAACATACCATTTTTATATATGCATGCAGCTGCAACGGAGAGATCAAAATAATTCCAAACCAGAATTTTCAACCACCAGTTTGTTGAATAAACAAGAAAGGCTACCAATCAGGCTAAGCTGTAAGCAAACAAACTGCACTAAATCTGAGTTCAGCATATGAGTCAAACCATAATGTGGGCCGTTGGTTTTCTATCTCTTATTAAAATTTTGAGCCCAATGTGTACTTTTAAGCAAAGGACTTAAAACCGTATGGATAAAACAATGAGAGGGACACACCGTAAGTTCTTTGTAATCTAATTATTGTGACATGTCATAAATTTGCAGCCAAAGAACTATTATGTCATGTGTCTGATTAACGAAACACTTAAAAGGACTTTCAGGCATATTTTTTCCTAAAAGCATTTATTAAGGTTACAGAGACGTCAGTACAGCACGGTGGAAATGCTTAGGTCTGGCTTCTTTTCCGTTACGCATATATATTCTAAGCATTTCCCCCCCCTTATTTTGGGGTCATGGTTCACATCTCCCAATCAACTTGGAAGATGTGATTTACTTCCGGTTTCTTTTTCCCGGGCTATCCTTATTCTCCTCCCTTTTTCCCTGTTGCCTGGTTTAACTATAAAAATACCAGACAGTTCTGCATATTGTCAAAGCAAGAATATACAGTATTTGCAGCGTTGACATATTACTCAATAGCTTTCCATAATGTGTATGGCCGTGGTGTCCAACTTGGCAACTTTAAGACTTTAAGACTAATTGTTTCGAATTATAAATGGAAGATGGATTTAGAGGATAAAGGTTATTTTATGGGTAAGCGATGATATTAGAATGAGAATTAGAATATCATTGTGAAATAAACTAAGAATTTACTGGAATAAATAATAAGTGTATATTAGACATGATATTATTTTGCATGAACTAAGGGAAACCGTGGCTTATCCGAAACTTAAACATTATTGGACACTAAGCGAACTGGAATATTGTAATTGAAACCAGACAAAAGTCAAAAACAGGATCTGGAGACATATAATTTAAAAGTTCTTTATAAATGTTTTCAATGATTGAGTTATAACTAGCAATTTATTCATTTGAATTTGGTATAATAACTAAGGGAAACAGAAGAAATTTTTGATGATGAAAACTGATATATGTATGGATAAGTGTGTTATTGGACTATGTGTTACCCAACCACCATGTTGCTTCCTTAAATACCCGAAGTTTTGTAAAAATGGAAAATTAATAAAACTTGTTTAAAAAAAAAAAAGACTTGTGGACTTCAACTCCCAGAATTCCCCAGGTATTCTAGAAGTGAATAATTTTCTTTTCTCTTTCCTTCTTTTATTCTAGTGGCTGCATCAACAGCAAATTCCACAGCTGGGGCAATGAATTCTTTGACTTCTCTGGGGACTCTACAAGGACTAGCTGGAGCAACGGTTGGATTGAATAATATTAATGCACTAGCAGGTACCGTAAACAGTGAGTATTTACTGCTGTGGTGGACACTCCAGCAATTTCCCTGTAATCACCTTAGGGACACTAATCGTTTTAGTAGAGTGAATGCTACTAGGGAAATAACACATGTGCAAAATGGGTGATAAAATTGAGAAATTCTATTCCAGACAGCTTCAGGCCCAAAATCTAAATAGATTTTGTCTTGTTAAAGAATTATGCTGTTTATATTGCTTGATATTATTTTATCCTCTCTTCCAGGGCACACACATTAAGCCTGCATTCAGATAGCTAGAAGGGATCAGTTCAATAGATTCTGCTTTTGTTTTAATTGTTCAAGAAATACAGGTTTCAGTTGAAGTGTCAACTAAGGAGATGTGTTGCTATTGCCCATAGAAGTTACTGCTAAGAGTAATAGCACAGCATCAGTAAGAATACTCACTAGATACAGGAGGTATGAAATATGCCTACTGCCAGTAGTTTCATTTATAGATTTCTACAAACCACACGGAAGCTATTTTCAAATAAATCACTTTAGTTCTTGGCTATAGAGACAGGTAGGAGAAGAATGTCAGATCTTTGAAAGATATATACATTCTGCCACATTTTTTATTAGAGTAAGTCAGATTATTATAATATATGCCATGATTTAATAATCTAGCTTGGCATACGCAGTAATGATTGTTTCTATAGCTCTGTGTTGTGTGATTATGTGTGGGTGCATGTGTACAAGCATGTATTGTGTCTTCAGATCAGCTTTTGCTAAACCGGCACCTGCAAAATGGCCATTTGTATATTGGTTGAAAATTTCGAACATTGAAATTCAAAACTTCCAAAGAGTACAAAATAAGGATCTCTACCTCATCCCCAAATATTTCTCTCATATTTCTGACAGCTTACTACTTCCAAGATATCAGTGTACTTTCTGAACCAGCCAAAGATATACTGAGTTTCAAGCAGAAAGAATTGAAAGCAGAAATTAATCAAGTCAGCAAAACTAAACAGCTCTCCCAAAATCAAAGCAATGAATCACAGCAAGTAATGCACAAGATAACCTCCACCATTACAAAACATAAAATAGAAGGAACATAATCATAGTTAAAAATGGTTAGGCTCCAATAATACAATGATGAAAGCTAAACTATACAAGTTGAGTCAAGCATCCGTGATATACTTGGTACTACATTCGATTTTAGCCAAAAAAATTCAGGACATTTTTAAAGTCTTCTATATTCACTGTTGTGCCAGGGGAATGAACACGGTTTGTGCTTGTCAATTACTGTAATATATCAGTTGATCCACTTAATCTAAATGATTGCTTCATGTCATCAATTCACCCTTGTCGTGGTTGAATGTAAAACAAAAGGAGAAATACTGAAACTGCAAAAGCAAAGTTCTGTATTTCTATTTACATTTACATTATACAGTTACATTATACAGTTACATTACATACATTATACATTTACATTATACAGTTACATTACATACAGAGTTACAAACAGTGGCGTACAAAATTCTGTATTTCTATTATTTTACATCACTGGCAAAATGCAAAGTTCTGTGTTTCTATCATTTTACATTCAAGCACAAAAAAGGTAAATCAATTGCATGGAGCGACAAAAAAAAAAGAAATTTGAGCGTACAAGGTAGATAGTGACCCAAACCCAATTTTTACAGGGAACCTGTATCCGAGACCTTTTCCTGGCTCTTCCCTTGTGAACACCTAAAGCCTAAACATCAGGTGAATTATCCTGAAGGCAGCCTCTGAGGCTCAGTAAATGCCAACATGTTGATGAAATATGAAGAAAACTTTTTAAAGTATGCTTTCAAACCTCTGTCTCAGTGGTGGCGAACCTACGGCACGCGTGCCAGAGGCGGCACTCAGAGCCCTCTCCATGCCCCAGAGATGGCAACCCGCTAACTCACCGAGGTCCCATATGGCCAGATGCATCCCAGCACAGCTGGTTTCCCTCCCCCCCCCGTCCCATCCCTCCTGGCCTCGCATGCTCTCCTTTTCCCGGACATGACCCACTGCATCGCCTCCTCAGCTGTCGGCCGGCCGTCCAGCTCAGAGGCGGCTTCTCTGAACTGCTGGCGGTGGGGTGCAGAGCCCCAGAGAGTGCCGGTCAAGGGGCCGGCAGGCTGTGGCTGCTGATGGACACTGTCACCCCCCATGTGCTCGCTGGCCTCTATGTGCGGGGGCCGATGGTGTCAGGCAGCAGCCGCCCCTGCCTCGCCTTGCGACAATGGCACCCCTGTCCTGCCTCGCCTTGCCTCACCTCACCCTGCAGGATGAGCCTCCTGCCCACCGCCCCACCTGCCAGAGACCCCCTGGATCTCCCCCAACCCTGCCTGGCCCCCACAGGGGTCCCTCCCCGCGAGCAACCTCAAGGTGATCACGCCCACCTTGGCTACACCCACCAAGTCTGCCATGACCCTCACGGCCACGCCCACCCGGTGGGCCACACCCACCTGGCACCCGGCGATAAATAAGTGGGTTTTTGGTTGCAATGTGGGCACTCGGTCTCTAAAAGGTTCGCCACCACTGCTCTATCTAGATATGTCTACATTCATCAACCATGTTTAACTAAAAGGCAGGGAAGACAGGGAAGGGGGAGAGAGGGGCAGGTTCAAAAAGCATGAAATTCCCACTGCCGTTCCAGGGTTTTTTTTTTTCACAGCTGCAAAAGAAAAAGAAAAGCTTTCTCAAGCTGTTTGCCTTTAAACCAAAAGAGTTTTCTCGTGTAGTCTGCTGATGTTGGTGTTTACCTGGACCTTTGAAATCCGGTTGATACAATCAATGAAAATGTGATTTGTTTCTCCATATGACTCTGCTCCCCAGATGCACTCCACGAGGCATCTGTCACTCTGATTTTTCGGGGATTTCAAAAAGAGCTTTTGGGCTCACGAAAACAAAACAAAGTAAAAATGGAAAGAGTATATTTCCCACCATATCAAGAGCTCTTCTTCCCTTTATCTCTTACCCAGCCTGTGCTGGTGAAGAAATTGGCTATTTCTGGTCTAAACTAAAGAGGCAATGTGGCCAAGGCTGTAAAATGCTTACTCTTTGACTTATTCTCTGCCGTTGCAACCGGTAAAATCCAAGGTATGAGCCAGAAAAATGTGGCTCTATCCTCTTTTTTGCAACCTGTTACTCAAAACCTGTTACCTTCCCTGTGTAAGAGAGTTGAGCAGTTCCAAAATGTGAAAGATAGATGGAATGGTGGGAAGGAAGGAAGGAAGGAAAAGAAAGAAAGAAAGAAAGAAAGAAAGAAAGAAAGAAAGAAAGAAAATAAAGAAGGAAGGAAGAAAGAAAAAGAAAGAAAGAAAATAAGAAAAGAAGGAAGGAAGAAAAAAAGAAAAAGAAAGAAAGAAAACAAGGAAGGAAGGAAGGAAGAGGAAGGAAGGAAGAAAAAGAAAGAAAGAAAAGAAAGAAAGAAAGAAAGAAAGAAAGAAAATGAGGGAGGGAAGGAAGGAAAGAAAGAAAGAAAGAAAGAAAGAAAGAAAGAAAGAAAGAAAGAAGAGGAAGGAAGGAAGAAAGAAAAAGAAAGAAAGAAAATAAAGAAGGAAGGAAGGAAGGAAGAAAAAGAAAGAAAGAAAATAAAGAAGGAAGGAAGAAAGAAAGAAAAAGAAAGAAAGAAAATAAGGAAGGAAGGAAGAAAAAGAAAGAAAGAAAGAAAATAAGAAAGAAAGAAAGAAAATTCCTATCACTAATAATGTTTTTGGATATCCTTGTCTCTTTCTTCAAAATTCCTAGGTACTATGTTCCCATATGTCTGTAGGATTTGGGGGGTTTGGGGTTTTTTTGATGGAGGGGGTCTGCTTGGCCCACTATTAAGAAGTATTTTTTTTTCAATAGATGTTGCTTTCTTAAGTTCTCTGCAATGCAATTGCCTTGTTATTTCTTATCAAGTTTCTCAGAATTGTCCCTCTCTGTTTTTTTCTTATGAAACTGTCATCAGTGTAAATAAAGGTTTAGGAGAAAGGTTATAGAAGAAGATTAAAAGGGACAGGAATGTGATTTGACTGTAAGTAAATAACACTGGTCATCCTGGGTTATTTATTTGTGGTCTGTTCCTCAAATCACTTTTCTGCAGCTTTGATTCAATAGCAACAACTATTCAGTCTTGGAGCTGATGGGCAGGGGCAGGAGATTCTGTTGACTTTTTCAATCTAGCTTCAGCTTTAAACTTAAATTGCTAGAACAGGAAATTTGGGGGGTAACAAAAATTAAAGCCACCGAAAGGGAGCTGTCATTCCTTTTGTTTTCCTTTTAAAAAATTCTGAGCATTGTCATATGTTGGACATTTTAATGGACAACCCTGGCAGAGAACTCCTTCAGACTCAAGATTTCTGTGCATCCTTAAAAGAATTTGCAAGCCTTCAACAACATCTTGGTTTCCTAATATCATAACGTTGCATGTCCTGAAAGGGATATACTCTGGAATTTTGCAAACTGTAGCAATAGCATGTCTGAAAAGAACCAGGTTGAGAGAGAGCTAACTTAGCCAGTTTAGTTTCCCAATTTTGCTTAGTTCATATTTTTATTAGTTTATCAAAACATAAAATACAGAGATACAAAGAAAAATGAAAATAATGGGAAAATAGGGGAGGAAAGGGGGAAGAGGGAAAAGGATAGGGCAAAGAGAGAAAGAAAAAGAAACGCATTGATTTCTGGCTTCTTTTGGCACAGCAGAATAAGGCAATAACACACAACCTCAGCTTTTTACTTTTTACTATTTAGTTTCCCAGTTTTATCTGGTGATTGGAATCCATCAATATCACTGAAAGGATGCTTCTCTTTTAAGAGTCCTAAATAAACTAAGTAGTCATATTTTATTACCCTAAGTGCATATAGTCAAGGCCATGGTTTTCCCAGTTGCAATGTGTGGCTGTGAAAGTTGGACCATAAGAAAGGCTGAGCGCCAAAGAATGGAGGCCTTTGAACTATGGTGCTGGAGAAGACTCCTCCGAGTCCCCTGGACTGCAAGGTGATCAAACCAGTCAGTCCTAGAGGAGATCGACCCTGACTGCTCTTTAGAAGGCCAGATCCTGAAGTTGAAACTCAAGTACTTTGGCCACCTAATGAGAAGGAAGGACTCACTGGAGAAGAGCCTAATGCTGGGAAAGATGGAGGGCAAGAGAAGAAGGGGACGACAGAGAAGGAGGTGGCTGGATGGAGTCATTGAAGCAGTAGGCGTGAGCTTCAATGGACTCCAGAAGATGGCAGAGGACAGGAAGGCTGGAGGAACGTTGTCCATGGGGTCGTGATGGGTCAGACATGACTTCACAAATAACAACAACAAAGGAGAAATATAATATCAGTCTTCAAATATCTAAAGGGTGGACACACACTGCTCTAGACCCCTGGTCTGTGGGTGTGCAAGATCCAGATAGCACACGAAACCATGCACCCCCAATCTTCAGAAAATCCGGCCTCCATGGGACCGAACCCTGGAGCCCAAAAGGTTGGGGGCGCTGCTCTAGAAATCAGGACCGGAAACAGTGGGGCTGAAAGACATTCAGGTTTTACTTTAGGAAAATATCCAGATTGCACAAGCTGTAGATAGTAAATTAAGCCACCACATAATATGATGACTTCTCCTTCACTGGAGATCTTCAAACAGAGGCAGAAGGGTTGTCTGCCAAAGATACTGTAGTGGATCTTTCACTGAAGAGGAGGTTAATCAGATGGCTCCCGTGGTCCATTCCAAGTCTTCGGTGATTATCTGAATAATCTACTGAAGGTTAGAATTACAAATCAATAAAAAGCATCAGCTTCCTCCACAGCAAAGGGTTTTGATTATCTCAAGAATTCCAGGACCTCTTCCACCTGCAAGAGCTAAACTGTAGTTACTCGGAGACTTGCAAGCTGAATGGCAATTTCAGCTCATCTGTTGCTCCAGAAGAAAATATGAAAAATGCTGAGTAATGCTTCCTCTACAGATGGGGCAATCAGGGAGCCCTAGGTGGGAATTTCTCTTTTGTCCCAGCAGCTGGGATGGGTCTTTTATGATGGACCATGCCTCCTATGGCACTTACTTTGAGAAAAGGTGAGCTATTAGTGCAGCCATTTTGTGAGATGACGCACAGCATGTTCTCAACGTATCCAGCTGGCGTCAAAGGCTTCCCAGTTGTTAGCCAGAAGCTGTCTTCCTGACCTACTAGTTTCCAGTTATATGAGCTGAATTGGCAACCAAAGTCTGGTTCATTCTTGGGAGTAGCAGATTGTTTGGTTATCTGGAGACATATATCTAGAACAGTGTTTCCTCATTTGGATAACTTTGAGATGTGTGAACTTCAGCCCTCAAGATTCTTAGCAATGGACATGCTGGTTAGGAATTCTGGGAGTTGAAATCAACACATCTCAAAGTTGACCAAGTGGAGAAACATTCTTCTAGAACAGTGGTGGCGAACCTATGGCACGGATGCCAGAGGCGGCACTCAGAGCCCTCTCTATGGGCATGCGCGTCGTTGCCCCAGTCCTAGGCCTTCAGCTGGGTTTTATAAAACCTTTTCGCTTTAGGCCTCCGCCGCCATGTGCAAAAAAAAAAAAAAGGTTCAATCAGTCAATTTCAACTTCTCGCGGGAAAACAAAAGTTCTTGCAAAATCGAAATTGATTGATTGAACTTTTTAGTCCCACCCAGTCTGCCGTTACCACTCAGCCATGCCCACCCAATTGGCCACACCCAGCCAATGGGCCACACCCACCCGGCACTCGACGATGCATACGTGGGTTTGGGGTTGCAGTTTGGGCACTCGGTCTCTAAAAGGTTCGCCATCACTGTTCTAGAATCATCTGTAATTGTACCGACACAACTTTAATGAGCTTTATATTGCTTTAAAGTTCTCTTGTGTGATGCTTTGAAGATGCCATAAATCATAGTGGGAAAACAGATATTCTGGTGACACACACCCCCCCCCCCCAATTTTTGCCGGGTGCAGCCTGCATGGGAAACTGAGTTGATATTAACAATAATTCCTAACCCCAATCTTTATATGTGTTTATAGATTGGATGTTGTCCTGCCTGTTGTTTTGATCATCTGGTGAAGTGCCCAAGTTGTATTACTGTTATTCTTACTCCTGTGGTTATTATTTTATTTTTTTTAATCTGCATGCACAGCCATTGTTGTCGGTGTCATATTAATGCTAACGATGTTTGGAAAGCACTAATGAATAAGTGCAATTTCTTTTCTCTATTGTTGGGTTTTTTGTAAAGTTGCTCAAATGCTCTCAGGTATGGCTGCCCTGAACGGAGGACTCGGTGCAACAGGCTTGACCAATGGTACAGCTGGCACAATGGATGCCCTCACCCAAGCCTACTCAGGGATACAGCAGTATGCCGCTGCGGCACTGCCCACGCTATACAGTCAAAGTTTGCTACAACAACAAAGTGCTGCAGGCAGCCAGAAAGAAGGTAAGCCAGTTAGGCCATGCAGGGGAATTGCAAAAGGGAGCAAGGAAGAGATCCTAAATTCAAAACTAAAAACAAATGGCACTTAGTGGCCCTCTAAAATTAGTTTATCAATCTCCCAAAGTGCTTTTTCCACTAGGCAACTGGACTTTCTTTTCCCTCTTTGAAGACATTTCGCTTCTCATCCAAGAAGCTTCTTCAGCTCTGACTGGATGGTGAGGAATGGAAGGAGTTACGTTCCTTGCAGGCAATCTGCTGGTCATTTGCATTCGTTTAGGGCAGGGGTCTTCAAACTTGGCCCTTTTACGACTTGTGGACTTCAACTCCCAGAATTCCTCAGCCAGGCATGCTGGCTGAGGAATTCTGGGAGTTGAAGACCACAAGTCGTAAAAGGGCCAAGTTTGAAGACACCTGTTTTAGGGAGTTGTTGAGGCCACTTGGAGGCTTATATGTGTCATCGGGATCACCTGAGTAGTGCAAATGGGCGCGGAGCCATCCTGGAACAGCTGAAAGTGTTGTAGACTGAAGATAGATGATGTATCCCTCCCTCTCTGTTGAGAGAAGGCTGTTCCATTTTGACATAGATGGCCTCTTCGACCCCTCTTTCAAACCATGCACCACTCAGGTGACTCTGAGGACACAGACAAACCTCCAAGTGGCCTCAACAACTCCCTAAAACAGGGGTTCCCAAGCAGGGGTACGAGACGATATTCCGGGGAGTGTGAAAATGTGATTTTAGAAATTTCAAAATTATAGTATGTGTGCATAATTCATTGTCGTTATTTCGAACTTTGGTAACGGGTGCGAGAATATATCAGAAGCGTCCTAGGGGTGCGGGGTATAGAAAAGGTTGGGAACCGCCACTCGAAAAGAATGCAAATGACCTGCTGTCTGCAAGGAGTACAAATCCTTCCATTCCCCACCATCCAGTCAGAGTGGAAGAAGCTTCTTGGATGAGAAGTGAAAGATCTTCAAAGAGAAAAAAGAAAGTCCAGTTGCCTCGTGAAAAAAGCACTTTTGGGACAACCATAATCTGGATGACTGAGAATCTCCATAGACATTTAGTTTATTAGTACAACTGCTACTATCATTACTATTAAGCTCCATCGTTAAGTAGAGTTTTCTTATTCCACGATGCCCTCCCGGCACTCAGTGCTTATGCTGCAATGAAAGAAAATAATTGCAAAATATTAGGGTACAGCAGAAGAGAATATATGTAGCTCAGATCCTTGGTGCTCTTTAAGCTTGGTCGTTGGCTTGCAGGCCATTATCCGAATAGGCAACATTTTTATTTTTTTGTTTGCTTATATCCCGTGTCCATTATTTTTACTAATAACTCAAGGCAGTGCGCATATCCAACACACCTTCCTTCTACTGTACTTCCCTCACAACAACAACTCTGTGAGGTGAGTTGGGCTGAGTGAGTGACTTGCCCAAAGTCACCCAGCTGGCTATTTTACCTAAGGCAGGACTAGAACTCACAGTCTCCTGGTTTCTAGCCTGGTGCCTTAACCGCTGGACCAAACTTGCTCTCATCCATGCACACCAGTTGGGTAATGAAACATTAGCAAGCAAGCAACCAGACTCAGAGAGCACCATGTACGATAAGTTTCTATTTTCAAAGAATAAGGCAGAGCAATGTTGATTTTTTTCCCCATTAGCCCAACCTTTATAATAATAATGATAAAGTTGGAAGGGACCTTGGAGGTCATCTAGTCCAACCCCCTGCTCAGGCAGGAAACCCTACACCATTTCAGACAAATGGCTGTCCAGTCTCTTAAAAACTTCCAGTGTTGGAGCATTCACCGCTTCTGGAGGCAGGTTGTTCCACTGGTTAATTGTTCTCACTGTCAGGAAGTTTCTCCTTAGTTCTAGGTTGCTTCTCTCCTTGATTAGTTTCCACCCATTGCTCCTTGTCCTGCCTTCAGGCGCTTTGGAGAATAGCTTGACTTATTATAGTTTTCTTATACTTGTCCTCTAGAAAAAAAAGTGATGTTAATATGGAAGCATGTTCCTCAGAGGAGCCTGCAGGCCTATGATTCAGCTAGATATACTGGAGCTACACTCTAGTTAGTTTAGGTTGTTAAGGAGTATCTGACTGCAGAAAAATGGAAAGTTTGTGATTCCTAAACCCCTTTACAAAGTCACTGACTTTGACACTGAACCGGAACTAAGCTGCACCTAAGTAGTCGCGCCTGCACATTCTCTTTTGGCAAAGAGAATACATAGGAACCCTATAAATGTTTAATTTCCCAGCACACAAAATTCCTTTCAGGCACTGGCTCAAAAGAATCTTACCACCCAATGCTTTTCTAATGCAAAAATAGATATTGTCTGCTGCTTTTGCAAAAAAGAAAAAAAAAGGATGGTTCAAACCATCCTTGAATTCTTTTTTTTTCCATTTCTGATGGGGAAGGAGCTCCCCTGTCTGGATTTGCATGTACACTACAAACATGTAGCTTTTATAAGCTAAATAGCGTTTGGAGGTTAATGACCAAATCCATCGTTGTTACAATGAAGGGTTTGCTTATTTAACCCAGAGTCTGGAAGGGGAAGCAAATAAAGGATTGATTGCTTCCTATGAGGTGCTGATGGAGTAAAAGAAAAAAACCAGAAAGTTAATGCTGAGAATAAATTAATGCCAATTGCCAGATGTTCAATGGAAAAAGGGGCTTCTCTCCTATCTATTTATTTCTTAGGTTTCTACCTGTCCTTCAAGCTCAGCTGCTTTAGAGAAGTGTTTTTCTGCAATCTAATTACAAGTAGTCCACGACTTATGACTGATTGCTTAGCATCCATTCAAAGTTACAACAGTCCCCCCTAAAAGCTAATTACAACCCAGTTTTGAAGATCTAACATCACCCTCCCTCCTCCTGTCATGTGATGTGATCACATTTTGGGCAACTTGGCAACTGATCCACATTTTTTAACCATTTGCAGCACCCCGTGCCTGCAATTTACAATTTTTCCCCCCTAAAAACCAGCATTTACTTCAAGTTTCAGCAAAAAACAGCCCCATAGCAAATAAGGACTACCTATATTCCTGGCTCATTTAGGCCAGGAAAGAAACGATACAAAATAGGTGTGGTGATTTGCATTGATGGTCAAGGATTCATGGGCCATCAGAGTTATCAATAGTCCTTTAAGAAGAGCGCTCCAAATTGGATAAGCCATTTTCCTAAACCCTTGACTATAATAAACAACAAGGAGATGGAGAAGACCGAAGGAAAGCAGAATCCAATTTACTTCTTTTCTTTGTTTGTCTATTTATGTAATTTATATATAGAGATTTAAAAATATAATATACTATATTAAAAATAATATAATGTAGTCTAATATAATATAAAATAATAAATCAAATTTATTATTTGAAGGTCTCTAAAGAAAAAAACACATGTCCATCATCTGACAAAAATTAAAAGTGAAAAAATAAAATCAAACTAAATAAAATAAACAAATAAATAAACCATTTTCCTAAGCCCTTGACTATAATAAACAACAAGGAGATGGAGGAGACAGAAGGAAAGCAATTTACTTGTTTTCTTTGTTTGTCTATTTATGTAATTTATATGTAGAGATTTAAAAATATACTATATTAAAAATAATATAATGTAGTGTAATGTAATATAATAAATCAAATGTATTATTTGAAGGTCTCTGAATAAACACATGTCCATCATCTGACAAAAATTTAAAGTGAAAAAATAAAATCAAACTAAATAAAATAAATAAATAAAAAAAAACTCAAAGAGCAGGCTCGATGGACCTCTAGGTCTTTTTCTGCCATCAGTTTTCTATGTTTCTGTGTTTATATATTTCTATAATAGAACCTGCCACTCACGGAACACTTATGGCTTTTTAAAGGTATTAAAATGAGCATTTAAAGAACTGCCAACTATTTGGGACCTTCCTTTTTTTTTTAAACCCTTATGCATGTATGAAGTAAACTGCTAGTTCTGCCAGTTCCTTTCTCTTCCTTGAGGACAGACTACCTGAGCAGGTAATAAGTACCTGAGCTTCTTCTTGGCCCTCCCCTGTTGCTAGGGTGACCCAGCTGCCAATCCAGTAGTAGCAGCCAATCAAACAGCAGCTTTGAGCAGGTGGCAGTGAAGGAGGTGAGGAAGAAGGAAGACAAAATGTCTGCCTGGCAGCTCATGAAGCTGAAGATAAATAAACAGAGCCAAAACTCAGAAGCCAAAAGAAAAAAAGAAAAATTAAAGAATAGAAACAGCAAGGAAAAGGAAGCAGCAGCTGAGGAAAATGGGGAGAGAAAGGCATTTTTTGTATTCCCTCAGAACTGTGTGAGGGAAAAGTTTACCTCAGGTGGGAGCCAAGACTGGGAAAGGCGAAGAACCCAGAAGCCCCACTAGGAAAAGGGGAAGGAAAAAAATCAAGACTTGAACAAAGTAGAAAACAGAAACTAAAGAAATGATCAAAGATAGACTGAATTCCATCAAAAGAGGAATTTAGCTCCACAGAGAGGAACCAGAGAGGTAGACAGGAATTAAGACAACAGAAATAAAGAAATCAGCAATACACAAATATATTGGAAATATAGAACACAAAGATGTGAAAATATATTCAATTCCTTGAGATGGGCAGCTATATAAATATGGATGCATGGCTAGATAGATGATAGATTTGATGATAGATAGATAGATAGATAGATAGATAGATAGATAGATAGATAGATAGATAGATAGATAGATAGATAGATAGATAGATATAGCAATCAAAGCTGCCATCATAACTTTTTGACCATCATGCCAATTGCAGTCCCAGAGAGAGAGAGATAACTTCCAAGAATTCTAATACAGTCAGAAAAACTGAAATTTTGGCGAATAAATTAACTAAGTAATAATTGTAATTACTTTATAGCCCACATTGTATATAAATATAAACCCACTTTATAAGTTATAAATGTTTGCTATAAAACATTACATTACAGTCTAGAGTGTATTCATATGGACTTGCCAGGAATGTAGCATCTCTTCATTTTTACCCATTTCGGAGAACCAAGAAGGTAAAAAGTTAAGTGAAAAAAGTGAAAGCGGGGAAAAAATATTCAGTATTCTACTGAAATAAAAAAACAGTATTCTAAAATTTATTCTCCATATTATGTGACAGATATGTAACATATACAAAGAGGATTATTTTTCTCCAAACAACTGCAAAAAAAAGAGCAGAACAAAGCTCAAAATGCGTATTTTGGCAAATGAAATGTCCAGGAACTCTTGTTTTCTAAATCATTTCTCTTATCAACAAGTTTCTGATGCTTTGTTATTTTTGTTATTTTATCATTTTCACAGACCTCTGGAAATTGTATTGAGATAGGTTTCTCTCCCTGATAGTCTGTTTCATAAATTGGTTTATAAGTCTACTTGAGTTGGACAACTATAATAAATTTAAATAAATTCCAGTTTCTTTCACACTTCAACCATTTTATAGAGAATGTAAAAATAAATATGTGAACAGCTTCACAATCCTTTTTGTTTTCAATTTTCTTTATTCGTTCATTCATTTAAGTTTATTGGCCACCCAGTTCCAGTGGACCCAATTTATGATGGGGGGAGGGGGGGAGACCTTGGGTAAAAATATAAAACATCTTTGTTTCCCTTGCAGTCCTAATATATTTGGAAGACTCCACAGAGTGAAAGAGTGAGCTGGGTTATACTTAGTGTTTTCAGCATAAAATGAAAGCTTATTCTGGCTGCCTGTTCTCTCTTTTCTTAAAAGGTCCAGAAGGAGCAAATCTTTTCATTTATCATCTCCCACAAGAATTTGGAGACCAGGACATTCTGCAGATGTTTATGCCTTTTGGAAATGTTATTTCTGCTAAGGTCTTCATTGACAAACAGACTAATCTGAGCAAGTGTTTTGGTATGTAACACTCAGTACGGAACATCAAAAATCCAACATGCTATCTCTCTTTTATGTTCCTCTTTTCCTAAATTGATATCTTAGGTTCAGCATTTATTGATATATCTTGCCTTTCACTGGAGAATTGTAGACATTTTTTTTTTTTACATTAAGCATCATTCTACTGTGATCTGCAGTTGGTTATCTAAACATTGCTTGTTCTCTTTAGGGCAGACATTTTCCTTCAAGTTTGTAAAACTGTAGTAGTGAAAGTTCAGTGTAGGTAATATCATTGGTGATAGTAAGTTTTTATATGACAGTGAAAAATCTTGAACTGCTTGTTTTTCTGTGTCTATTTTATATTCCTATTCAGCAGTTTGGCCTTTTTGGGATTAATTTAAATTTCATAGTTTTTACCACTTGTCAATTAAAATTAAAATAAGAATTTTAAAAAATATAAATAGGACATATTTTCCTGAGCCTTAAGTTTGATTTAATTATGCAATGGTTTCCTCATCTAAATGCTTTTCAGTTTAAAATCTCTTTTAGGTTGAGCTTAATCTAGGGTGGCCTTTTGGACACAGCCCTGTTATGTCCAAAATGTTTGTTTCTTGGTTAAAAACAATTAATTTTTGTCTATTTCTTAGTTTAAGGGCTGCTTCCACCATAAACGATTGTAAGTTATAAACAATCTAACATCATAATAAAGACTAAAATGGCATAAAAATATTAAAACTCTGCATTTTGAGGCATCATATAAATAATCTCCCAATAAAACAATGTTTTACCACATGGGGTGGGCATCTATATTTAAAAGCCCCAAATTTCTTGGAATACCCAACTCTTAATGGTACCATCAGGTACAACTTACAACATTTTGGACTTGAGAGCCTCTAGAGCACTGATGGCGAACCTTTTAGAGACCGAGTGCCCAAACTGCCACCCAAAACCCACTTATGCATCGTCGGGTGCCGGGTGGGCATGGCCCATTGGGTGGGTGTGGCCCATTGGGTGGGCGTGGCTGCGGTGGTAACGGCAGACTGGGTGGGACTAAAAAGTTCAATCAATCAATTCCAACTTTGCAAGATCTTTTTTTTTCCCACGAGAAATTGAAATTGACTGATTGATTGAACCTTTTTTTTTTTTTGCACACAGTGGCGGAGGCCTAAAGCGAAAAGGTTTTATAAAACCCAGCTGAAGGCCTAGGACTGGGGCGATGGCGCACGTGCCCACAGAGAGGACTCTGTGTGCCGCCTTTGGCACCCGTGCCATAGGTTCGCCACCACTGCTTTAGAGCTCTTTCCAAGTTCCAAATTGAATTAGAGGCATTGGTTAACATCCACTCCCAGTCATTCTCCACCAAATAGATTTATATTTATGTTCTTGATAAAGGAGGTATTCTTTGCTTGTCCTCTGTAACCATTTCAGTGAAAAAAGGAAAGACTGTGAAAGCTCCATAATGAAGTGAAATGTTTCTTTCCTTGCAGCAACTCCTATTAATCTTGAAAAGTACAAGCATTTGTGGTTGAATCAGGAAAAAGGCCTAAAAAAAATATATTTTCCTAAATGTACAAAAGAACTGTCAAATGCATAAAACTAATTACCTCCTATCTGAAGGGATGTCGTTTATTTTACAATCAAGGCACCTTATTATGAGTGTCTAATTATTCTCTATTGTGTTAAAAAAAGCGCCTCTCCATGTTTAATTCATTATTTGCAGATTATATTAAATAATATTTCCTGCCCTAAGAAAGACTATGCAGTTGCATTTTAAATGCATTTTTTTCTTCCATTCAATCGTGCCTGGTTTTCAGAAATTGCTTAGACAAGTCCCTGCAGTTTTCTTGGCAAGATTTTTCAGAAATAAATTGCTATTGCTTCCTTCCTAGGGTTAAGGGAGAGTGACTGGCCAAAGGTCACCCAGCTGGCTTTCTGCAGTCTTGTGGTCTCACAGTTTCTAGCCACTGCCCCAGACTGACTCTCTAAATGCAGTATAGTTACATTCACATACAGTATTTGATAAATAATTATTCCTTTTAATGCTAGTTCTATTTTACCCATTTAATTCAAATTTACAGCCAAAATTGCATGAGCGTGCCTAAGAAATACACATAAACTTAGTGTATCTGCAGGGCATTATTTCCTATGATGTTGTTATAATTCAGCCAAGATGGAATATTAACAGAGTAGAATAAAAGTAAGAACTGAATATTAAACAGCAAAATGGAATGAATTAACTGGACAAAGAGAGTGAGAAGGGGATCATACAGTATGTTTAACCTAATTCCAGGTTCATTGGACAACCTAAAGGGCCAGATTAGGAAAAGAATGTCATGGAGAAAATCTGTTTATGTAGTCAGCAAGAATCATTATTGACTTGATGGAACATAATCAATCCCAGGATAATAAAATTCAACCGCTATGTTCATGTGACATGCGATGCCCCAACAAATACACTATCTTATGGCTTAATGCAATCACTTGGCTCATACAATTTGCTGAGACTATGGCTTGGTTTCCCACCACATACTCAACCACATAGTATGGAGACCTGTTCTAGGCTAATTAAGCTATCCCGGTCCTAAATAAAAAAAACTAGGATGATTTCATTATTCAAAGTTAGAATGGACCGCCCCAAAAGCTACTTACAACCCAGATTCATTGTTGCACTTTGGGCGCTCAGAACCCGACCCCATTTATGGCTGTTTGCAGTGCCCTGCAGTCATGTGACTGCTATTTATGTCATTTTTTGCATAAATGGGTATGTTTCCCGCAAAACATAGCCATTGCAAACAATGGATTCATTTAGTGACTGCCACCTTCGATTAATGACAGCTGTGTTTGATTAACGACCACTGCAAAAAAAGGTAAAATTAGGTTGGTCACGTGATTACTCACTTAATGACCAGTACAAATGATAACCATAATTTGAGCCTCAATAATGGTTGTGAGTCGAAGACTACCTATACTTCTTGGTTGATTTTGAGAAGCCGTTTTTATCCTTAGGAATAAAAGCTACAGTTGTCCAGAAGTATCAGTGTAAAATACTGTAATATAGCTAGCATGCAGCTATATACCTGGCAGTTGAAGTAAATAAATAGGTACCGGTAAATATAGAAGCAGTCTGAAGGACTTGTAATCATGATTAAAATGACTATGTATTCCAGTTTTGAAAACAAAAAAAATGTTTTTCATTCTTTCTCAAAACAGTCTGAAGTTAAAGATCAGCTTTTATTGCATTATTCTTCTGAGTGAATTATGGATTTGCTGGGGTCTTAACTGGAACCAACACAATGTCCTTCCAGTATCACACCTACTCTTCAGCTGCTTTTGCAGTTTAGATTTTGTAATCAATGGAAGAACAATTGTTAAAGTTGCCTATTAAAGCCACAAAAGAGAAACCAAACAGAAGTGACAGTAAGAAAATTAGGAAGCAAGCAGGAGTGACAGAATTGAAGAAAGGAAATCAAATGCTTCTCAGTCTTCATGCTGGGAAACACTGTGAAAGAATCCAAGTGCTAACGATTTTTTGCTGGTTCTTACGCATTCATTTTTTTCTCTCTCTCTCTCTCCCTTACCTACTTTTGTGCATTCTAGGTTTTGTTAGCTATGACAATCCTGTCTCTGCACAAGCTGCAATACAGGCGATGAACGGCTTTCAAATTGGCATGAAACGCCTGAAAGTACAGCTGAAGCGCTCAAAAAATGACAGCAAACCTTACTGACCGTTCTCCCAGAAGCTTTCTGCTCTTAATTTAGATTTCTTAGGGTAAGTCTCTTGAACAAGCCCACCCTTGCTTGGGGTGGGATTGAGAAAGGACATAATGAACACCTGGCCCAACACCTCTAAGAGACAGCCATTTGACAATCCTGCTTCCATTTTGCCCACCTGTTTTAAGAGAAACTTGGCTAATCTAACCAAAAAAAAAAAAGTGGGATGACCTACAAGATTTGAATTAGCAACTCAGATTTTTTTTTATTTTATTTTAATGAGCGTTGAAGGGAAAGCACCCATCCACATGCTACAATCTTAATAATTAGAGCTGTCAAAAAGAGAAAAATTGCAACTTGACTTTCTCAGCCCTGGTGTCCTTAATACTTTGGATAAGGATAATGAAAACAATCCTGAATTATCCGAACGGCACCAGTTCTGAATTTGCTTAATAAAGCTATGGCCCTTGGCCAAGAAAGTGACTCATTTAGAACACAACATTTTTCCCCCCATAACTTCAGTTTGTTTCTTTCTTCTTAAGAAGCTTTAATATTTACCATTCTTAGGGCTTCAGATTGACACGTGGTTACATTATCCTGTTTAAACACTGGTTGTCTTTATATATTTTACCTATTTATGTTTTGTTTTCCTTTTTTGTTTTTTTTTTAAGTTCTTCAGGGTTTTTTTGCTTTTTTTTTTTTTTTTTTAAAGAGCATTAGTATAAAAAAAAGACATAGAGATCCGTTTCTAAAGCTACAGGGTTTAAAAAATAAATAAATAAAAAAGAATGACAATACTTGATGTTTCTTGAAAGATAAAAAATTTAATAATAATAATAGATACAAAAGAAAGCCACAGGCCTGTAAATTTTATTTGTAAAAAGCATTTCTATTTTTATACAAAAATTTTTACTGCCTCAGAAATAATGGAAGTTATTTATTGCCTATTGTTAACTTATTGGATACCTAAAGACCAGCTCTGTCTGGTTAGCTAGATCATTTTGAAGTAGTCTCTAGAGTACACGTGCCAAGAATGGGTGCTTTTTCACCTTTGAACCCTACATCTTTTATGGTTCATAATTTCTCTCCTCTTGTTTGTATTATGTCTTTGTTAACTTGTCCGTTCTTTCCATTATCTACTTTAAAATTTAGTTGTCTTGGGGTGTTGTTTTTTTTTGCTCTCACTCTTTCTCTTGATTCCCTTCAATCCACTTCTACACCTCTTGATGTTACCTCTGTTGAAATGGGGTCTTGATTCCTTCCCACCCTTTTTCCTTACCCAAATGAAATAAGAATCCATTTTTTAAAACTCCTTTCTAATGGATTCTTTGGGGCTCTTTCATCGTGGCCGTTGTTGACCAAGTGTACAGTTAATGCAAATTGTGTGAATGGCTGGGACTCTTAATGATGAAAAAAAAAAATTTGCATTAGTTTTCTCCTGCACCCATTAAAATGATTTTTTTGTTTCTGCTGCATAGACTCTCCATAACTTTTTCCTCTTCCTTGTTTTTCCCTAGACATCTTCATGCCTGTTAGTTCATCGTTTGCCTAGCATGTCCCTGTGACGTCTTAAAACAGTTTCATCGTCCCGTCATTGTTTCTGATGTCTTTCTTGACCTCACATCATAATTTGGTTCTCCTACTGATCTTTGATCTATAGTTTGAACCTTTGAAATTTGCATGTGACCTCATCTAGCTATATGAATTCTGGGAAGTCAATGTGAAAAGCATTGCTGCATTTATGCAAGATCAAAATTTATTCGTAGTCAAATTTATGATAGGAGTATTTAAACACACACACACACACACACACACACAACCTGTGGCAAAATGTTTTGTTTGAAGTTTTCGATGTTCCTTTTTCCTTTTTCCCCCCTTTTATTCTTTTCTTTTATTCTGTAAAAAAAAAAAAAACAGACTTGAAAGTATTAGACAGAGACTGGCATTCTGGCTGGTCTCTTAATGACATAGCAATATGTGTCCACACAGGCACAGAATGTTGGTTTCTAACAGACTACTTCCGAAATAGTTTGAAATGAAGAACTGTCTGATTTTAAGTCTCTAGAGGTCTGTAATAGTTTTTACATTTTTCAGGCAGTGTAAAGTTTTTTGATAAGGCCATTTTAGGTGGCTCACTTTCTCATTAAGAATATATATATATAGAACCACTTTTTGTAGATTAGTATAAAAGAAAAAATATTTACCCTGTTTTAGGGCAAATGCTACCTATTTGTCACCTTTTGCTGAACTGATTCACAAGTTAGACAATCCATGAATTAATGCACATGAAAATTACCTATATTTTATACTGTTTCGATGTACAGGAGAAAGGTTATTGTAAGCTACTGTTTCATTTGGTGCTTTTGTGAATTAAGTTGTGGTCTCATCATTGGGGGGGGCTTCCTCATGGTCTTTAAGTGTTCTGTGTTTATAAACAACAGGTTTGAAATTGGTTTTTACTTGAAGATCAACAACAGAACAAAAAAATGAATTTCAAAAAATGAAAAAAAAAAGTTGTTTGCTTAAAATTTAAAAAAAAAAAAAGTTTTCATGTGAAAAATAAAAACTATTCCAGACTAAGTTTGTGTTGGCTTCTGTGAGGCATTGATGTCAATTTTTTTAAAATTATTATTGTGGACAATTTCGATGTGTTTGTGTTCAGCAAAATGTGATTCAGTTTTCCTTTTAAATAAATAATAAGAACTCAGTGGGGGAAAAAAAAATTAGTGCCAAATTCCAAAGGTACTTCTCTTCCTAGAGCTTCAGTGTGTTTCTTGTGTGAAGTAATTTGATAACATGGGTATTTTATTATGTGTTTTGTATAAATCCCTAATATTTAAAGGAAAAAAAAGAGGTTAAAAAGTTTGTTAACTTGCTATCCTGTGGTCTTGTTGCCTGAAATTGTTGTTGTTTGTTATTTCTCTTGGATGTTTTTTGTAAAACATTGTATAAGTGCCCATGTTTCCCTTTTCTAACCATTCTGCGCATCAATGCTGTGAATGCAAACCTCACAATGTAATTTCCTCATAATGTATGGAAACCTCTAAGGTGAGAAAGTTTTGAACTTTTAACCCTTTCCACCCAGAGCTATCTTGAGAGTTAATACTTTTATACATTCACCATTCTGCTCTTTATTTTTATATACACATTACACACACACACATACACACACACATGCATATTTGTGTGTGTATATTCATGCACAAATATGCACACACACGCACACACATACACATATACACCTAATTTTTTTTTGTGCTTTATTTAATACATGGTTGAAATCAGAAAAATGCACAGGGCAGATCTGAAGGACGAAAATAAATATTTTACTGCTGTCTAAAGTTCTTCTGTATCTATAACTAAAAAAAAAATATTTAACATAGAAATTGTAAAGCTCCTTTCTTTTGTTTTGTTTTTAAATCTTTTCTTAAAGAGAGCTTTTAATATGCTGCTGGTATATGATATTCTGTATTTAAAAAAAGAAAAATAATTCTTTAATTATGTATTATGTAAACCACTCCTAGATAGGAGAATTGAACCCACAATTTGAAATCATTTAAAAAAAATTATTTTTGTAATCAAATTAAATGAATTTTCGCTTAAATCCAGCGCACTAGAACTTCCTGGATGAAATTTTCTTGTGCACTGCAGTTAAACTACTTTTTATGGATGAGGTTTACACACGTCTAAATGCTCTGATGTGCTAGCTGCCATATTTGTACTGTGTTGGTCCAGATGCAATAGATACAAAGTAGACATAGCGGTATCTTTTGTTAGCAGGGTTAATTCCTGCCAGCTGATGAACATGCAGGCTTCTGATGTGTAGCCAATCCTCAAAAAGGCAGAAGCAAAAAAATGGCTCTGTAGTCCCTCAACCTGAGAACAAATTACAATAGCCCCAAATCTTTTTTTTTTGTGAGCACAGGATGCAAGCTATAGATGCTCCGAGAAGCAATTGCTGTATGGTGGTTTATATGTAGGGTCTCCTCTGATGTGAGATTGGCCCTGCTAACCGTGACATTATGGGGCTGCTGCAGATCTTGGGAAGCTGACTATCAGCTGGGCTCCTGTTCCAGAGAAGAATACAAAGATTGTTTTTCAGCAGCTCCCCAAGAACCGTGGAACAGGTGGTTATCTGCTTGCAGGACTCTCCATCTTGTCCTGTTTCCCAGTCTGACAATTTTCCGCAAGGTCCCTTCTTCACTCAAAGCATCACAGGACCTTGTCACCGTTTCCTTCTCTTCACAGCAGCTTCCCCTCATAAAACCCAGCTGTTCTTTTCCAGGCTTTCCTTTTCCTACACCCTGAAAAGAAATCTTAGTAAGACATAACCCAGGAAGAGAGCAAAATGGCCTCTTGTTGCCGTTTTTAGCATTATTATTATTTTTTAGCATTGCTAGTCATCCTCCAGCCCCATCTCAGCCATCTGCACAGGTCACAAACCCAGAGTTTCAGAGATAATGTCTCAACCCAACACATTCTAGTGTACACTTTAAAACAGAAACTGAACCCCCATGAAGCGAGTTGCAGGTATCAACCCATACTCCTGATTTTCTTCTCCCCCTCTCTCTTTCCCACTCCGCATGTTCCCCCCCACCTTTCTTTTATCCCTACAGGGAGCTGGCCAGAAAATTAGGGTTGCCAGGTGTCCACTATTTGAGTGGACAGTCCACTTTTTTCACATTATGTTCACTATTTTTTTTCACAAAATAGTGGACATTTTTTTTTATTCAAAAGCTTTATGATGAAATGGTACGTAATCTAAAGCTATACAGTCTACTTTTTTTACTACTTAAACCTCCCCCCCACCCCCGCTTGTCCGCTATTTTTTGGAAGCAGACCTGGCAACCCTACCAGAAATGCTCTTTTGCTGTTGTGAGGACAGGGTAGTCCTTTGCTCTGAGCATTTCGGAGACATGTCATGCTTGGCATTCTTAAATGCATCGGGGGTCATTGTTAAATCAGAGCTTCCTCTATTTCAGAATGTACATATTCAAAAAAAATAATAATTCAGCAAACCCATTGTATTTGCTGCAGCTGTATTGTAAGGAGAGACAGACCCAGGCTTTGCATTGGGAAATCTATCTGGTTGGAATGTCTTGGCCTGGGGCCATAAATATTCAGAAATTCACACCTGCCATTCATAATCTATGTAGTTGCCCAGTGGCAGAATATTGCACAATATTGGCAGAAGAGGAACTCAAATAAGCGAGGCAATTTAGGGTGCGATTGTTGTTTTCTTTCTTCTGAAGCGGATAACAAAAGCAAAGTCTTACCCTTACAATACAGAGGTTATTGTATTTACCAGAGAAGTCCAGAAATATGGTCACAAAAGAATAAAAACGCTGGCTGCAACAGTGCACCTAAACAAATAGATAGAGCTTCAGTTGTCACGGCCATCTTGACTTTTGTGACCGTGCCCGAGGACACACCTGGTATTTACTATGACATCGTCCTTTGGATGACACAACTCATTCATTCCACAAACCCATAAGCTGAGCTAATAGTACCCACACATCCACAGTTGAAGGCGCTGCAGTTCACGAAAGTTTCTGCCATTGTAAATATGACCATCTTTAAGAGACCAGAAAACTCCATTTTTTACTCAGTAAAAAAAACAAGGCCTGGAAATGCTACAGGGGATTAAGTTTGCTACAGCAGTCTAATCCCCTAAGGCAGTTACAGAGGTGGTATGTTTATTGTTCCTGCTGGGATCTCTTCACTTATTAGCCACAGTGCTCTGCGTAACTCAGAAACCTGCATGGTCCATCAGTAGAAAATGATCAAACATCAAGGTAGTTGCTTGGCTATTTTGTATCTCTTACTATCTGTCGTTAACAATATGTGGGCACGGTCCTGCAAGCCTGTACTGTACTACTTAACTATCTGTTCACATCAAAGGGAAAGTTCTGCAAATCCTTAGATTTTGCAGAATAACAACCAAGAAACTAAGGGATGATGACACTTCATTGCCTTGTTTCTTTTAACTTAGATTGAACAGAATAGCACTCCTATTCATCAGCTAAATTTTGGTATTCTGTAGTGGCAAATAAAAACCTCTTTCCGAGCCAAGATTATTTCAGCAGCTTTTCATGCTACTGATTAAAAAAAAAAAAGTGCCAAAATCATTTCCTATTGTCTAATCCTTTTTACTCTCATTTAAAACATCCCCCATTTTTCCTCTTTCCCCCAATTTCCCCCATAAATTATTTTTAAGAAGGCAGGTGATAATCTACCCAGTTTGCTTTTACATTCTTTATAAAAGGGGGAGGATTCACAGTGGTGGGATTCAGCCGGTTCGCACCAGTTCGGCAGAACCGGTAGCTAATGTTTTGTTGCCCAGGTCCAGAGCGGACTCCCAGAAGCAGCATCCACACAGAGATGCTCACATATTTGAATCCCACCACTAGGGAGAAAGAAGTATGTTTACTTTTAGGGAAGCCGTAGATGGCAAGCACTAGAATCCAAATAATGCAGAGTGGGAGAGAATAAAGCTAGAAAAAAGAATTCTAACACATACACACTCTCACTTATCGATAAATGCTCCGTGATTGTCTCGTGTTCCTTCTTCTGGGGCCTTGCTGAACCCTTGAGGGCTAACTTTGTACCTGTGAACACCATTTTTTTCTTGCTCGTGAGCATTTTTCCAGGGCATTCTTGTTCAGCATCTAAAACTTCCCAAATAATTATACAGTTTGAAAGAAAATCAGATTCCAAGTAAAAAAAAATTAATATTCCTTTTCACGTCAACGGGGGCTTGTTTCAAACCCCCATGCCAAACCTGTTGAAATGGCAGCCACATCTGTAATTAA